TTGTTTCTTGAGAAGCACTTTCCTATAAAACTGAGTAAAAACATCACGTAGTAAATTTTTTTTAATTTATTGTCAGATGGTGACAAAGTTCTGGGTCAGGTCGATTAAATTTTTTTTTTTTTTTTTAAATGTTGCAACTAGGAGCCTGTACCTTAGCACCTTAGCCAAAACCTAATTACTATACATATTTTTACACCACACTGTGGCAATTTCCCAGGCCTTTTTTTTTTTACATTTTCCGGGGGGCTTTACATCATTAANATACACAAAAAAGGCTTTCGACCCAGGGCAACACAGCCAAGGGGGAGGCAGTGGCAGCACTTGAGAAAAGAAAAAAAAAACATATTATCCTCCTGTGATCAAGATGGGTTGCTTATTTTAAGGTTTTGTGAATTATTTTGGATATGCAGCGTTAAATTAAAGGGCCTCTTTCCTCATATAATCAGGACTGAATTTTGAAAAGAACATCCTTAAATGCACAGTTTGTTCTTTTAAGCCTAACATTGTGTGAAAAGCTTCATCTATATACTATACAATATACCTGGATTGAACTATGTTGATTAAAGATTCTTTAAAAAACTTGTTTTTATTCATCTATTTCTTTTTTTTTTTCAAACGTCTGGATAAAAAAATTGGTTTAAAAACTAGGCTGCAGGAGAGCAACATTTATCCAAGAGGCACCACTTAGTTTGTAATCTTCATCAAATACTATGCTGTCAAGTATTAAAAATGTTTCCTTTTTTTTTAGTTTTTACAAGTTTAATAACGGTTAGGTGTCTTTTTCCATCAACCTAAATAAACAGAGTTCTGGGTCTGATTGCTTTGTAGTGTCAGGGGTGGAATTGCCAAACAACAGGAGGTAAAAATGGCATTCCCTCTGATGCATCATGGTTTTGTTAAGGCAACAGATTAAAAAGGCAAAAACACTTATAGAAAGTCAAAGGAGACAAAACAAATGAAGAAGGAGAAATAGGAAAACAACAACAGCTACAAATAAAACAAAATAACATAGGAAATGTTCTGATAATTAAAAACAGAAACAAACAAACAGAGAAGAGATTCACACATGTGCAGATTGATTAAATACTTAAGAGACCACTTAAAATGATCAATTTCTCTGATTTTACTTTTTAAAGGTATATGTTTGAGTAAAATGAACATTGTTCTTTTACTATAAACCACTGACAGCATGTTTATGAAATTCTGAACAAAAATGTAGTATTAATTTGCAAAAAAAAAAAATAAATAAATAAATAAGTGAAATTGTCAAAATAACAAAAAAGATTTTTAATATTTTTATTTTTTCCTACCCCACAGGGAATGCTGCCCTGGATGGTGAACCACATCACCCATAACAACAACCGACACTACATCACTAGTAAAGGGTATTTAATCTGCTTTTTCAACCATTTTGAACTCTATTTTCTTAAATTAAAGAAGAAACGTACACCTCTTTCCTACTGCATCATGTATCACAGCGCTTTATATAATTTAAAATAACTAGGCATGATGTAGTGCATCCGGATTATTGCCCTTCAGAACTTTCTGCCCCTCCTTTCGTTCTGCCCTATTTTCTAAGTACGGTGGGTAAAAACCTGTACATTTTCTAAAGTCAAGGTGTGTTTGTCAGGTAACAGAGGAAAACAAGTTCCACATCTTTTGCTTTGCATGCATCTGCCTCCACCTAACCAGTTTTTTTTATCATCAGTCACTTACTTTTAGCAGGATTTAATCAATGCTGTTTCCCTCTTTTCTGATGGCCTTTGCACTGATGTGAAAGGTTGTGAGGGCAATAAAACCAGCGTGCTTTGATAGAGTTGGATTACGGATATTACCAGTCTGTGATTACAGACACTTAGGTAATTTTATCGGGCTATAAAACAAAAACCGATATTGGTCATGGAGCGAGGAAGTTTTGCTGTAAACATGGCCGTACTGCTGTTTTAACGACGCTCCCTGAAGTAACCCCATAAAACAGCAGGTGTATATACCGAGAAAACAATAGTGCTACTCAGCAAGAACGGCGGCAGAATTAAAGTGGTGCAGAAAATACACTCCTTAAACACAATCGTTACCATAGATACGAAAATTGACTCTCTCAGTGTGTTGCGTGGACATATCAGCGAGTCGGCCATGTTGGAAGGGGAAACAACGGCCAAGGCAGCCTTTTAATTCAACAGGGGAGCTCCGGTTTTAACAGGATTAGACGAAGTTTATGGTTTTACACCGCAGAGGCACCGATCAAGCCTTTAATGGTCGACACCAGTATCAGATTTTCTTTGGAAGGACTTTAAAAGAAACAAAACTGATTTGTTTAAAATTGGCGCTGATTCAAACAATCAAATGTCACAAAGATGAGCTACAAAAGCTGAAAATGTGCCACGGATATACAAAAAACATCACCAACCTTTCCTCTGGATTTTTACAAAAATCCAAACAAAGAGCAGGAAGGAACATCATGTTTCCTGACTCCTCAACAGGCAAAAAAGTGGAAGTTTTCAACCTTACATTTAATAAACAGTAGATAAAAGTTGCCTGCTGATTTTGATCTAATTAGTAATTTGAAAAGCAAATTTTTAATGAAGGGATTTATTGACTATAGAAATATTAGTGCTTAACAACAAACCAAAGCAATTTTAAAAATGTACTTGTGTTATTTAAATCATTCAAAAATATTCCAAATCAAGATGGAGCCATGCAATTTACCACATTATAGAGCATTAATTTGTTTTTTTCACATTGAATTACATATTTATTTTTACAGATTTCCTTTTACTCTTTCAAATTCAGAAATTTACATACAGTTCTCTAGTATTTGCGAGCATTCCCTTTGGATTATATGATCTGCGTCAAACTATTTGGGTTTCCATAGTTACCTGTTTGAATTTTGTCCCATTCTTTATGACTGAGATCAGGGATTTGTGATGGTCACAAAAAAAACTGACATTGTCCTTGAGTCACTTTGTAGCTAACTTGGTGATTTGGTTAGTTTCACTGTCCATTTGGAAGACCCATTCGTTCCCCGAGCGTTAGCTTCCTGGCTGAGATCTTGACATTTTGCTTCAATATTTTCCACAAAGAGTTCTTCCCTCATGATGCTATCTGTTTCCGGCAGAAAAGCACCCACACAACATGATGCTGCCACCGTCGTACTTCACAGTTACAATGTTTTTCTCAGGCTCAATGGTGTTTGGCCATAATGGTCATTAATGTTCGATTGTAGTTTCATCAAACAACAGCACATGTCTCAAAACGTTAAGGTCTTTTCCCCTATGTGCATTAGCAAACTGTAATCTGCCTTGTTATGCTGCTTCTGGAGTAATAGCTACTTCCTCTCTGAGTGGTTTTTCATTCCATGCTGTTGCAGGACTTGTTTCATTCTGGATAATGACACTCGCTGACCAGTTTGGACACCAAAACACATTCATCTCTGGGACACAGAACCTCTCTTTTTCATGAACAGTATGAAAGCTGGCATACTTAAGCAGTGTGTTTAAGGGACTGCCTTAAATACATCCACAGGTGTGCCTCCAATTAAGTCAAATGTTGTTAATTGACATATCAGAAGCTTACAAAGCCATGGTTTTATCATATGGGAGTTTGTAACCTGTTTAGAGGCATAATAACGACATAATTTCCTCTTATTGCTAGTTTGGTAGACTCGGTTTGATTATAGGACCAAAATTGCAGCATGTGTCACATTTTCAGCTGGTGTGGTTCACTTTCACGCTGCACTGTGTCAAAAGAACCAAAGTAATTGAAAAAACAGTTCCCTCTCTCGCCTGTGGTGGCGCTGCACCAAGAACTACTAAAGGAAACGACACGAAAACCTCTGAAGAAGAACTTCCCTTTTCACAAAATGTAAACAAAAATGGGGTAACGTCAGATTTTAGGGGTTGTCGGACTTATATTTTGTTTTTGGTTAAAAAAAAAAATAAAAAAAAAAATAAGCCATTTCTCCCGCTGGTGCCAGATTAGCGTGTTTGTTTTGGATATTTATTCTGCTTTTGGAACATCCATTTAAACCACTCTACAGTTCCTTTCAGCCGAACCGAGACCCAGCTTTGTAGACGGACAAGAGTTCGCTTTTTGGTCCCCATTAGAGTACAATTACTCTTTCACACCTCCCCAAACGAACCAGACTTTCTAAAAACAAACAAACTAGAGTTTGATCAAATCCGGCTAAACGGAGATCGTGTGAATGCACCTTAGCAAACAGAAATAATTTTTGTAATCCTAATTGACCTAAGACAATAAATTCTTAGTCTGATTTCATGTCAATGACATAAGTGTATGCAATTAATTAATATCTACCATCATATGAGAAATAATGGCAGCATTTATTCTACAAGTTGTTTAAGATATTTTTATATTTTTATTTTAACATGAATTGTGTGATACTAAAAGTAATCTCTAGATGCAACCCTAAATTACACATCCTCTTCTCTCTTCTCTCAAAAGCTACAGTCTTCTCTTCAGCTGACATTCCAGAGTGGGAAAAAAAAAGACATGAATGATGTAGATTTGAACAAAAATAACCAAAAGGAAACGGGGGTGATGCCTTGTTAGTAAAAAAGGAAGCACAGCACAGCAGCAAACTCTGGGAGCGCACACTCTGTCTTAGTAATTCCTTGCCTTGTCGCTTTGTCTCTCATATAGGCGGTTATTATAGAGACGCGGCTGTCATGTCATATTTAGCTCTGGAAATGTCATTTGGCAGCACACCTGCTGCCTGGCTATGCTAATAAAGCTAGGTTTAACTTTGATTAGAATCCAGAGAGAAGAAGTGGGGGCAGAAGAGAAGAGGAACGTCAACGAGATTAAGAGCTGGAAGAGTCGCTCCAGCGGTGAGCCTCATGCAGACATCTCTCTCGACCCGTGACATGTCAGTGCGATGACTCATGCCTTAGCTGGATGGATATGTCTGGATGCATCACATATGAAACATAAGAGGAAGAGCAGCCCCTGACCTTTCCTGGAACATATCGGCTAAAGGGTGAAGTCAAGCCCACATGTCAAACTTGGTTTAAATTCCTTGTGTCCACACGCGTCTGTGTTTGTGTGTTCCGATAGCCCGACCCGACAGTTACCCTGACTGAAAAAGACAATGACACACTTACCCCTGGTAGGGTCTTCTGCTCGTGCAATGCATTCTGGGCTTTGAGGGCTGATTCTCGTGCACAGTACGTGAGGAAGGCACATCCTGGAGAGAGAGAGAGGCAGGAGGTGGAGAATCACATGTATGCTGTGATTGAATTCAAATCAGTTCAGTCTGCGTACAAAGCTGAAACAAAAATCGTCTCAAGGCACTTCACTTCAAGGCGAGCGATCACGATATTTTGTGGTGCAATTGTGATAACGATAAAAGTGACGAAAATAACTGTACGGCGGTGAGGGCATGTCACAGCATGCGTAGCTCCACAAATACAAAAGCGGCTCTTGAAAAACATTCCCACTTGTAATATGCTTCTTTAGGACACCAGTCAAATAAATAAGTTCGATTTATATCATTAAGCTGCACCTGGAAACTGCACTTAATCATATTTTCAAATTGATTGATATCTATTGATGAGAAGAGAAAATGGTAGAAGAAGCCACAAAGTTGAAGATATCAATAGCAATGTCCAAGAAAGAGACATAACATTGTAGAACTGACCCGGAAGAACTTTCTAGAGAAAAGAAAACGATAACTCTGTGGCTTTGTCCTGGAAAGCTAAACGCAAAAGTGATGTGGCTCGTCTCCTTTCTATGGGAAGAACACTTAAAGTTAAAAAGAGCAGCAGCTCCTTTGGTTGCTTTATCCAGGAAGGAAAACATTTGATCAGGGTTACTTTCTATGAGAAAGAAAAAGAAGACTTAATCGTGCCAATAGCTCTGCCAGTGGATTCATCCAGGAAAGAACGGCACACAACCGACAACACAAAATCTTACCAAGTATTTTTTGGTCCCATTTCTAAATATCCTAGTGAACTTGAAACAAAACGAACTTTCAAATAATGTTTGAGCAAGATGTATGGGTTTGTTTGAAGTAAGTAATTCCTTAAAAGAATATTAATACTGGCAGATTATTTCACTTGTAAGACATTCTTCCCATTGTTGTAGGCTTTAAGTTACTTTTGTCTTATTTTAAGTGCACAATGATATTTGCATTAGAAACTAGACTAAAAATAATAGTGAGATTTTGTGTTTTTGCAGTGCGCCTAAGCAGAGAAGCCCTGATCCATGAATACTTTCTATTGACAAAAATAAAAACAACTTTAAAGACTTAATGGAAGCCGTAGCTTCTTCAATGTCTTTGTCCATAAAAGACACAGCTAAAGACTAAACTAAAGGCTACTTTTAGTTTAAACTGTAAGAATAGGATAGTGACAGCAACAGCTCATTCAAATGCTCCGTCCAACAAAGAAACATCAAAAGACAAAGAGTGCTTTCCATGGGGAAATAAAACAAAGAAAGTTCATACAATGAAATATTTAGCATTTTTTTCATGCCCAGTATGTTGTTCTGTAAATGAATGTTGACTGAAAACATAAAGACAAACCGCTCTTAGTTTTTAAAGCCGTGTGAGATGCCTGATCATAAAGTCTGGAGACACAAGTGTGAGCTTTTAATATCACTCCGCTCCAGCACAATGTATGCAGTCCCACATAATAGAGAAAGGCTTTCATTAACCTTTAAAGCTCCCTCACATCATGAATATGTAAATATATGCAGAATAGGTGTTATAGGTGTTGGAAGGCTGATACCACCTGGCCCATACGTCTCCCAAACGACTGATGCTTTTTGTGTTGTTGGGGTTTTGTTGGGGTCTTTTTTTTTTAATTTTTAATTGAAGAGCCTTTTTGTTTTCCCTCCATCTGATTTGCATTAGAAATGACAGTAAGGATCATTGTTCATCTTAGATCGCTTCCCTGGCCTCTGTCCATCTGTCAAATGAGATTTGTTGATCTTTCTTGCAAAATATGAACAGCCAGCTCGCCATGTGATTGTCTTGAGTGTTCAACTTTTGCAAAAGATTTTGAATTAATTCAGCTGGTCCAGAATGTTGTCATTGAGCAGCAGTTAATAAGGAGAAATCTTTGTGTTTAGAGGTAAAATGTAACATCTTAAGCTAAAAGTGAACTCTGTGATTAAACCCTGAGGTAAAAAAAACTCCTAATCTAATAGTCCCTTTACTGGCTTTAACATTTTTATTCAGCTGTGTCATTTTCAGCATTAAATCTGGACATGACAAACGGTCGAAGCCTTTATGTGCCTTTGATGCTAGACTTAGTGTTATGCTTCTTGTTCTCAGTCACAAAGCCAAATTAATATTCCTTTTGATGAGCATCGTCATAAAAAGCACTCCTGCACTTTTTCAAACATGGTCTTGCCTTCATTTATTGATCAATTCTGCACAATACCTTTTCTCTGACCTCAAAGAGATGAGTCATCTTTAAAGAAACATGTCCCCCCCAGAGTAAGACTTCCCAACAGTGTCTGCAATCAATTTAGGGGTTAACGCCAGAGATCCTCGTTAGATCGATGGCACACTGTGTCTTTGGTGAGACGGTCATTTAACGTAAATCATATTTCGCAGAATCCATTTGCAAATGAAAATTACAGCTGCAGACAATTTTTGCGACCTTACACTTTGTTCTGACGGAGGCATTTACCTTTGTGCATCCCCGTGTACTTGTCCTTTATCACCGTTAACTCGTAGATCTTCCCAAACTGTTCGAAGATGGGCTTCAGGTCCTTCTCCTCCAGGTTTCGGGGTATCTGCCCGATGAAGAGCTTGATTGCGTCAGGCTCCTTCATTGAGAAGTCTAAAGAGGAACAAAACACACACACACACACATATTTATAACAGAAACATAGAGTGGAGGCGTTCAGGAGCCTGGAGGCTTAAATTCACACTGCACAGGAGGTGCAAACAGGAGGCCGGGGATGGAGGTACAGATGGGAGCGTTCAGTTGAAATGGCTGGCTGAAACGATGGTTTGTACTTTATCTGTGAAATGTACATCGTGATCCTAATAATGTGGATTCTGGCAAACACGAAATTCACCAACAAAGTTGCATCGTGTTAAAACAAATGTAAAAATCAGTTGCTACAGCCTCCTAATCAGAAAGGAAGGCTTTGATGCATCGTATTTTGGATGCTCTGCGTTCACATAATAATACAGTTAGGCCTGTTGACTGACTCCTGATTTAGCTTTTGCTAAAGCTAACAGAAAAGTCCACATGTCATGATGGGCAACAATGAGTGGAGCTGGAAGATGCAAGTTAATCGTGACATTCCGATATTCAAAATAGCACAAAATGTTGCAAGACAGTGATGAGCAAATAGCACACACATGAAACACAACGACCATGCAATGCCAAATGTATCACATTTGATATTTGAGGCCTCGTCTACCTCCTTCACAAAGTTATTACATTTTGGTAAATATAATAAAATGGCTGCAAAAGGAATATGTAATAGTTATAAAACAAAATTTAAAGATTTTAAAGACTTAACCCTTTTGTTATTTCTGATACAATTATTTATCTGCTAAAGTACTTTCCTCAACAATCTGCTGCAGCAAGTAAATGTGCTTTTTAATTAGTAAACGCAAGTATCAGTCAGTGTTGCGTTACAGAATAAACGTTTTTGGTTCTCTAACAATTAAACGAGCGCAAAAGCCTGATGTACTGAATACGATACAAACAAATTTAGAAAACAAGGCGACCAGAAATGGTTCCTGTTGAATAGCGAAATACATTCAATACTTTTTTAATCTGAATTTTCTGATAATTAGGGCTTTAAAATGACACCAGAGGTATCATTTTTGAGACGATTATCTTCTAGACAGAAAAAAAAAAAGTTAGCACTTTCTTGAAAATCTGCATACAAAATACATTTTTGGTTCTACAAATTAAATAACTGGAAGGTCTACTTCATCAGGTGTCTGACAAAAAAAAAAGACAAAATCCTATTTGGTGTAATTTTTGTTGTCTTGCAAAGGCACCCAATAAACTGTTCTCATTTCATCAAAATTTAAAACGGTATAAACGTATGAAACCACAGAAATATATATAAAAAAGAACAAACATATACCATTGTGCATAAAATAGAAGCAAAAGAAAGCAAAAAATATATAGACAAATATATTAAACTGCATGTAAACAACAGCAAAACTGCCCAGTATTGAACATCAGTACCACAGCTGCATGTTTTTCTTAACATTGTGTGCCCCTAAAACAGTCTAGGATGATTACATCAGAGGGATCTTAAAACCTACAACAAATGCTAATTTTATACACATAGTCATAAAGTTTGCTTCTGGGAGAACTGCAAGCTATTTCTCAATTTAAAAATAAAACTTCTAAAGCGGAAAAAGGCACAGTTCAACAATATGCTTTGAATAAAAACGCACAAAAAAAACAAAACAATCAGTAAAATATATATATATATATATGCTTTTCCCTTTTAGGGGATTTTTTTTTTTTGTATAATGGATAGCACACCCGCTCTTTTCCTTGCATTATAACCATATTTTTATACATTTTTTTTTTCCATTACTGTAGCCTAAACCAAATCCTTCCTGTGGATTTGTGGCAGATTTGAGCTCAACATGACAGCGTGTCAGTCAGCACAGCTGGAGAGCTCTTTGTCAAGACATCGGTGACAACAACAATGACCTGGACGCGATTTCACGCATTTGAGCATAAAAACACTCATAAAAACACACACACACACAAAAAAAAAAAAACAAAGAGTTGAGAGAATAATACCTGTGGTGCTGGTCGTGGTATTTAAAAAAATCGGAGTGATCTGATTTGATGTGTCTTCCTTCCTTCCTGTTGTTTGGTTATTATTATTTCTCAGTTCATCTGTCCGTCTCTGAATCCTGTAACAAGTTAGGCCCGCACGCCCCCTAAAACAACACAACTAACATCCAGCCGAGGTCCTTTATTCGGCATGAGCGAATTTTACGAGATCTCGGTTTTTTTCCGCTACTGTTTTCCACACAGATGCCCTGGATTTCTCTTTTCTTGAATAGAGAGGAAGGGGGTGGGGGGAGGTGAAAAAAAAAATAAAATAAAAAAAATAAAACAAATCTCCTACTGGCGTGGCTAAAGAGAGGGTCTTGTGACAGATGAGTCTTTAGACTTCCCTAATTCAGCGGACCGTAGGGAATTGGCAGTCTGGCTGGCTGTCCTCTCCTCTTCCCTGTGTGTCTGTACTCCTTTTGACGTCGTAAGCCGGTGTCTCCCTCCCTGTCCATCTCAGCTCCATCCCTCCCCCTGGCTGCTTGAGCCGTGATGTCTGCCGCCAGGGCCCGTCGCTAAATTACCGGCACCAGTGGAGGAAAAAAAAAAAAGTATGTGCTGCAAAAACAGGGGACGCTCCTGCTTACAATGTGTTTTGCGCTTACAAACAAAGCTTGCGCTACACTTAAATGTTTCCTAATTTCCACTTCTTTTTTTTTTCTAAAGTGGAAATTAGCGATGACTACTGAGGTCGTTTTAAAAGAAAAAACTACAAAACGTTATCAGGGAGTTAAGTATGGCGGATGTTCAGGGAGGAGCTTTAAATATTAAACATGATTTTCAGTTGAGGTGGATTTTAATGCGCTCCATTTAGTCCGCTGGTACGCTTGTATTTATAGACGGAAATACAATTTTGTACGATTGCATTGGTTAAAATTGAAGGAGCAAAGAGAGAGAGAAAGAGAGAGAGAGAGACGGGGGTAATTTGCATTATTTTTTGTTTTCCATTTTTGGCTTCATTTTTGTAGATTCCATAAAATCTGGCCAGCTTGTGTGGTCAGTTTTGTTTTCCTTACATTTTTTTAAAAAGCCTTTAAAACCAGACAAAGGAATTTGTGTCCCTTCTACATTTTTTGTCATTGACAAATCTTTTGATTTCTCCATACTTTTCTATAGTAAAATTACATTTTATTTCACTGTTTTATTTTATTCCCCTGATTTTCACTGGTCTGAAGAAACAACTGAAAAAATCTTTCAAATGTAATGGAAAAAATGCACGTATAGGGTCAGATCCTTCAAATCAAATTACAAATCTCATCTTTTTTCTCAACAACAACTTTAATCATTTAAAGTTAACATCTAAGGTGATTATGCACGGTGAGAAATTAAGATCAGATTGGCATTCATGAAAATAAACATAATCTTTTATTATGATGCTAAACATAACACTTCTACAGCAATGTTTTAGGAAAATGTGTGTCCAGGCGACCCAGTTGAAAATTACATTGAACCAGAATGAGTTCCTGCAAATAGTTGACACGATTTACAAGCTCTATAAAACATTTTTTAAAAAATCTATTTGCATGCATGCATACATGAGATGGGAGAGAAATATAAAAAATAGATAGTCAGCAATAAAACTGATAGTATCTGATGTGGTGGGAAGAATAAATAAAGTAAAACCCTTTAAGAAAAAATCATTTTGAAGACATTTTGTCCATCCCAATCTTTGCACAGGTGGAGATAAATAAAAGGAAGGGACACTAGACGGTTACACTGAGATTTCCCTAATTCACACGTAAAATTGTACTCCTGATAAAGAAATAACATCTTTTAGGTACAGAACACAACCTGTTGGAGACATTGTGTTCAGAAAGGTAGCGTTTCTTTTTTTTTTCTTCTTCTTCTTCTTCCTGTAGGTTTTCCGTTTTTCCCGTAGCCTGTAAAACGCAGTCGGTCCCTGACATCAAGCGCTTTCAAATCCGCCTTTTGTTCTCGCCGTGGAGCTGGCCGTGGTTCTGAAATGAATCCTCTCAACTCGTGTCACATCACCGGGGATGAAGGGAACGTTCTCTGAGAGGGGCTGAAGGATGAAGAGGGTGGGGGGGGGGGGCAAGAAGCAGCAACAAACGTTATTTAAATGTTATTTGACGACACGCACAGAGACTCTCGGGGTTACACGCCCTCTCTGAGATTTGGGCAGCATGTAAACAATGAGCCCACATGACAGCGGGCTGCACACACCCCGGCACACATGCGCACACGCAGAGACTTCAAAGGAGTCACGATCTGGACGTGCGGGGCTCAAACCGCAAAAAAACACGACGGTGGTTATATTAAACTGAACCTATGCGAACAAATATCCCTCTTTTTCCCTCCATTCCTTCATTTCCCTGCGCTACAGTTCCCCTTTAGATCGTCTCGGAGGTTAAGAACCGCCATCTGCCGTCAGTCACCAAATCCGGTCTAAGCCTGTGCTGCAGTTGTTGCCGAGACCCGATTCTTACACAGTTGATCGGGTATTAATTGTTCATGCAAGTGCTTCGGAAACGTGATCTGTGTCATATACGCGCAGCGGCTGGAGGTTTGAAACCAACACTGACATCTGGTGACGAGCTTTATAACCCACACGATGACGGCAGAAGAGCTTTCATTATTAATATCCAGCGTAAGAACAGTAAACAGATGTTGCGTGAGTGGATTTTGCTGTTTTATTCGCTTTTAAAAGCAGATGCACGGAGTCAGAGCTTATAAATGTAGTGCGGAATACCTCAAACGCCCCAGCAGCAATAAAGGATTTACTAAAAGTAGCGCACGGATTAAATTAGGCTTTTGTGGCTGCTTTTAAACTGCATATTACCGCAAACAACTGGTCATAACTCGCATATGACGATATTTCTCCCTTGATTTTCACGTCAAGATATATGTATTTTATTAAAAACAGAGAAATTCGGGTATAAAATCATACATAGATTGCATCATAGCTCTTCATGTGCAATGACAATGAACTTTTTCACATGTAGTCATGACTAAACAACCTGCTTTGATGGGTTTCAATGGGATTTGATGTGCCAGAGGTCCCAAAGTGCCACCGTCTTATGACTTTTGGATGCATTCCTGCTCCAACAAACCCGAAACAAAATCCCCCTTACTGGAATGTTAGCAAGTTTTACAAAAACCTGGTTATCAACAGTTCCTTTGATTCAGGTGTGTTGGAGCAGGCATGCATCTAGAAGATGCAGGACAGTGGCGTTCAAGGTTCTGAGCTGCAGAACCTTGTGAATAGGCCTTTTGGTTGCTTCCCTCGTTAATGCCTATTTCAAATAAAAATAAATTACACAAAGGTAGAGTCTGTTCACTAATTCAGTGTGGGTGGGGGGAAACCCACAAAAAGAATCTTATAGTAGTTTTTACCGTCTTACATGAGTCTCAAATCTATGACTTTGTTTTCTAAAAATCAATCAATTTCTCATCTAATTGTGATTGAAGACATCTTTAAAAAAAAAAAGAAAAAAGTAAAGTTTTAGTCAGTAAAAAAATACGCAACTGCAAAACTTAGAAAAAGCTACTTTCCTTTAGTGACAAATTCTAAACATTTTGTAGCAGGGAAATATATATATATATTTTTTTTCTGATGATTTGGGGAAATTTGCTCACAAACAAAAGAACAGCCTTGAATTTTTATGGAAGTTTGATTTTAATATGAACATACAGGATACATTAAATCAAAAAGTAAAAGAAAAGAAAGAAATATTTGCATGTTACTGACTGAACAAAGCATTCGATCTCCAACACCAGCCTTCTTCGTTAAGCACAATGTTAAGATGTTTCTTCCAGTTGATCAGCAGGTTTGGACACATCTCAGTTGGTATTTTGGACATTTTTTTTCTGCTCTTAGACTCTTTAAACTCTTCGCGTTTACCAGATACCACTTGGCAACGCAAAGCCAAGCTGCTCCAGGATCCTAAAGTGATTCTTTTTAAGTTTTTTTTTTTTTTTAATAAAAGTCCTAACTGGCAGTTTTGCCCGTCTGAGCCTAAAGATGAATACAATTGAAGGGCAATTTTGTTTACAGAGCCTATATAAAGCAGTTTTTATTTATCGTTTTAATTGTTTTGCTCATTTCCTTTAGATATTGAAAATGTCTTCCAGTTCCAACATCAAATGAAATGAACGTTTGTTGATCTTTTAGAGGATGCATTTGCAATATTATGCCTTTTTCATTGCATTCCCTGAAAATGGTTTCAGAACGACAAAATTATTGTTTATTGCAGCGACTTCTGAGACAAAATATCGTCGAGCAAAATTTGGTTTCATGGGCCGGCCCTGGAAACACCAACCAAACTCGACACAAGCCAAAAACGACACTAAGGAAAACCTGGAAACGCCCAACTCCAAGTCAGATTTATTTTTTGCCCAGCCTGTCTTTGATTGTTTAGATTTTTCCCACTTTTGACACTCACTGTGGTTTCTGAAGTGTTGGAAACTCGGAGCTTGCTCAGCTTGCCGCGGCGCTCAGCATTCGTTACAGACCGTGAAGAGCCATCATCACCGGGAGCAGAGCAGGATTCAAAGAAGCCCTCACTTCCATCAGCTAACATGTGGCACAGCAGAGTTTTTTTTTCTTCTTCTTCTTCCATCACATCAGACACATCAAAGTGGTTCTGGATCCCTGAGGATGAGAACAGGAGGGGAGGGAGGAGAGAGTAGTGTTAAAATTCAAGGAAAGCAGGTCTATTCCAAAAAAAAAACAAACATTATTTCTCACTTTGTCGTGCAAAACCTGTGCTACACATAAGCATCCTCTTGGTGAAAACACGTCAATTAATTGCTACACTTCTTTCAAAGAGTCTGTGATGAAAAAGATCCCAGAAAGGATCTGCTGACACCTGAACATGTGCCTCCTCATCTACTGTTCCCAATTAGTTTTACGATTTCGTTTCTCACACATAACTCTCAAAAAACCCCGATGTTTCCCATTTACTTTTATTAGCATGTACCTTTTTGTTGTTTTTTTAACAATCTCATCTGCTTCCGTTTTTTTTTTTTTTGTCATTATGTAGTTAAAGTAGTTCTGACTGCAGCTGATCTGTAAAACCCCAGCCTAACACAAGATCATTTTAATTATAAGAAATGTAAAGAAATGCAAAAGAACATCCTAAGGAGTTGCAGGATAACGTAATGATTACATCATTACCGGTTTGAATTTAAAATAAACGACCTGTTAAAACAGTTAGCGTCGATTTAGATCCTGGGTAAATCCATTTTATAACCTGTTCCTGTTTCTGAATAATTGGCTCTACTGAAAAGGTAATTTTGGTCATTTTCTGGGCTAATTTAACACATATGTCCAGAAACCTAAACTTTTATGCAACTAATTACAGCCAAACAAGAATACCACGACAATTTGCTCGCTTCCTGTTGAGTAGAAAGTGATTTTTGTGGCCAAATTAAATGAGATCAATACACACACACACACACAGAAGTGTGCATTTGCTAAACTGCAAATC